GTCCTTCGGGACATCCGTTAAAATTGGAATGATACAGAGAAGATTAGCATGGCCCCTGCGCAAGGATGACACGCATAAATTGAGAAATGGTCCAAAGAAAAAGCAGCAGCAAAAAAGGGTAGGCTAGATGGGCAAACGGTGATGAATACTAATGACTGAACTTTTGAATGGGCGCAACTGACAGTTAATCCTTCCAAGGGAAGCCATCAATGCTGTCAGGGCTCCCCGGGCCATAACGTGGGGAAGCGTGGAGTATAAAGAGCTCTGTTGTGATGTTTTTCGAGGGTTGCTGGGCCCGATTCTCAGCAGGTGATGCTTCCCACCAATAGAATGGAGCATTGGAAAACAAGAAAGGTCACATCATTTGGGAACCACAACAGTGTTGTTGTATTGATGAGAGGTCGCGAGAAGTCGGGCTTTCTTTATCAAGAGACTTCGGCGTCAGTGTATGCTCATCTGGTGTGTTCTTGACTTTGTCATTCTACTTTCTACTTTGCTCATGTATGCTGGTTGTGCTTTCAGTCTTTTGCTGCTGGAAATTTGTGTTCTCATTGCTGGTTCCTTTCATTGCCATTTGGATCTTATCACCCGATATGATGGTGAAAACAGATGATTAGAGGCAAGCAGTGGATCTGATCATCAGCACTGATGATGAAATCAGATGATCAGATCCGTCTGATTATCATCAGATCTGATGTTCAGATTAGATGATGAAACCCCCAGTACTTGGCCCAGCTATTGATGCCGAGCTGGGAAATTCCCTGCGCGCCAAGTTTTGCCGAACCGACGGCGCGGCGTTTCAATTTTGCCTGGGGCCTCCAGCCATTGTGATCTGGTAATCCTGGTAATATGACTCCGGGAGCGATACTCACGATCAACTGGTTCTCAAAATTGAGTCAGCAATTACAAGCTGGTAAATTTGAGCCACAAGCGTGGTCCCCGAAGCCCATCGGTCGCGGCGCGTTAATGGGAAATGCCTGCAGCGGATATATGGGCCAAGTAATGGTGGTTTAAATCCAATGTTCGGACCTGTTCATCTGGTCTGAAGACTGAACCGATCTGAGCATCCAATCCGCTGTTCGGATCAGATGATCAGATCCAATGTTCGGATCTGATGATCAGATTTCCGAAGCTCTGCTCTGATTGTTCAGATCCAAAAAGAACTTAAAAAGTGAAGGTGTTTTTTTTTGGTGTTTTGTTTTCTTTTTGAAATTTGCCCCTGAATACCAGATCTTAACATCGGATATGATCATCAGATCTTACATTGTGATTCAGATCTGATCATCAGCTGTGCTAGTGGCATATAGACAAATGCCATTATCGTTACATCGACCACCAGGTCGAAAAACTTTCCCAGGCGATGTGTTTCATGAACTTTATATACATTCTCGTTTATTAGAAAGAGCTGCCAAAATGTCAGACCAAGCTGATGCAGGTAGTCTGACTGCTTTACCTGTTTCGAAACACAAGCTGGAGATGTATCTGCTTATATTCCTACCAATGTAATCTCCATTACGGACGGACAAATCTTTTTGGAAACAGAACTGTTTTATCGTGGAATCCGACCTGTCTGATTTGATCATCAGATGAGCTGTTCATCATAATACGATGATATGATATTCAGATCTGATCATCAGCTCTGCTCTTAGTTCGAACAGTGATCAGATCGGAAACATCAGATCTGAACATCACATGTCCTGGTGAGATCTCAAATAAAATAAGAAGAGCAAACTAACCAAAATTTTGCTAAGTTTTTCTTTAGTTGGTAATTGTTACTCTTTCTTCCCCCCCACCAGAACCTCCCCCCCCCTCTTTTTCAAGTCTCCCCAAAAGTAGATCTTTCTGGTTGCCTTTGCTTGCATAGTCCAGGGGGTGGATTGGACAGAGAAGATGACGTCTGCAAACCCGGACGATCTGCATGTCTGGGCAGAATGCCCGGTAGCCTACCGTCTTCACCTGAATAGAACGCCCAGTCCTTATCGCTGCATCTGGACTGAAAGTTGGGCCAAATGCAGCTATAATGACCAGGCGTTCTAGTCGGGTGAAGACGGCAGCATTTTCTCGGAGCAAATTGTTTCTGAATAATGCCGATGACGCAAAATGTCTGCTTCGCTTTTCTGACTTGAACTTGACTTTTGACTCCAACAGGTGGAGCACACATGGGAAATTGACACTGTTTGCCAATACTACAAAACAGATCGAGAAAAGGTAACGAGTTTTTATAACAGAGAGACATGAACTTTGAGTTAGCTGGGCCCTGGCAGCTTCTTGATAATGTTTTTTTTTTTTTTTTTTTTTTCCAGAAATTTTCCAAGAAAAAAAGAGCCCTGATCTCTTGTTAAACAAACCGGAAACCATGTCGAGTTTCCCTTAAATCAGCTACATTAGCCTACATACTCAAAGCTTCTCTTTGTCACTGTCAAGGGACCCTGAGACAGCAGCATTGATTACTTTCTTTCTGTGGAGGATGTACTACTGCGAGGCCTGCTCTTCCTAGACCCTATTTCGCCGGCACTGTGGGACCAAGTGTTCCCCTTTCTCCCCCAAACTTCCTCTCAAAACAACCACTACCTTTCACAGGCAAACAAGAAACACAAAGTTGCCACAAATCGCAATCTTCGGGTGGACGGTGCTACCGGACCAAAATGGCTGGTGACGCCAGCCAAACAAAAGAAAAAAGTCGTGCTGGTGCTTCGGCAAAGCTTGGCGCACGGTTCTTTCCGTCTCGGCAAAAAGAGGCTCGGAGGTAGTGGTGGTTTAAATTTTAAACTTTATTGTTTAAACCCACAAATGTCAATCTGTCTGAGCAATCCCTCTCAGCCCACTGTTGTGGACTGTCTGAGAAACTGATCGGACTGTTGTCTGATCTGGTCTGCCTCGTGCTGACTTCCTGCTCCGATACCCCATCCCTGTTTTCCAACTTCTCTGTCGGGAAGGTGTTCACTAAATTCCCTGTATGTTCTTTCATGTCCCTGTATGTTCTTTAGTGTTACCTGCTTTACGCTTCTATCTTTGACTCTTTTACCTTGTCTCGTTCCCTGCTCATGTCCCTCTGCGTGACTTTGCCGTTCGTAACACTCTTCTCTCTGTTGGTGTCCTTTCCTGATGTGAGTCTTTGGGGAACAGAACCCGTGCTTTCTCCTTTCCTTTGCCTTGTTGTTCTGGTTCTCCGTATGCACGTTCTTATGTTTCGCCATGGACGTCTCTGCTTCTGGTCCCTTCTCTTCTTGCATTCATCCTGGTGGTGGTTGCTTTGTTTGGTGCTTACTCTATATTGAGGTCTTCTGCTTGCTCTCCGTTTACTATGCGCTCTGCATCCCCAAACTGTAGAGGTTCCTCCTCCCCCCTGTCCATGTGGTTGCTGTTCCTCTGCCCCTTAGCTCCTCTAGGCCCGTTCCCATCAGCTTGTTGATATGTGTCAAGGCCATTGCCCGTTTTTGGAAAACAAACAAAGGTGTAATGAACCCAAACTCAAGATACGCCAACAGGCCAAGCGGCCTAGCTCAGTTGGTTGAGCACATAAGTGATACGCAGGAGGTCATGGGTTCGATTCCCCACGTCATCCATTCTGTCCCCGACGACCTTCTGTGGCATGCTTCAGGTTCACCGGCTGGGAAAGTCAGTTTGTACCTCCTGGATGGTTGTGGAAGTTACATTCGACTTTCCATCCCCCACCAGGTGTTAGGAGCTTGGGTGCTGCTGCCCGCGCACAGCAGCGCTAGGCAGGTGTGGAGCACTGTGGACCCATAACCTTAGGATAGCTNAGCCCCCACCAGGTGTTAGGAGCTTGGGTGCTGCTGCCCGCACACAGCAGCGCTAGGCAGGTGTGGAGCACTGTGGACCCATAACCTTAGGATAGGTTAGCTTCTGTTAGTAGATTTAAGGGTAGGTCTTAATTGGTGGACGTGCATAGATAAGCTCTAAGCTTTAGACCCTAGACCCTACACCTTCAACCTAGATCTCCTGGTTCTCCTAGATCTGCTTGGTGTGTGGATGGATCCCTGCTTATCCACGTAGGTAGTAAAAAATGCGGCTGTTCCCCATATGAGGAGAAGACAAGCCTGCATTTCCCCCCAAAAAAGAGAGCTCATTCTTATAATTAAAAATAATAATAAAATGATTAAAATCAAGATAAGCCAACAATATTACAATCATGCATGTAGTCAGTCACACTCCCGCATAGTTGTCTCAGGCTGCAAGGACAAGTATTCAGGAATTAGACAAAGGTAAAGAAGAAGTGGAGTCGAGGAGGAAAGCTTCTATTGTAAACAATTAATTCGAGTATCCGTCTCTTCCGATCCTGATTCATCTTCAGGACGACTTCACTCAGCTCGCCACCCCTGCAACCTACCCCACTACTGTTGCCAGCAATGCAGTCTCTCTGCAGCAGTCACCTTCCACAGGCGGGCCCAACCTCTAGTTCGAAGCTCAGCTATGGGGGTTGGCACTTATTACCACAACTCTTCAGGAGCAGGTGCTTCTGGTCTCATCTTCACCAGTTATTGTCGGTTCTGGATTTCGGTTGGGTACGGTGTTGTTGGCTTAGTGATCGGTTGTTAGGCACGATCGTGGATTCACAGGAATTGTGTCGTGAGGACTGGTGATAGCTATGTCCCCTTAGGCCCTTGTTATCACTGCAGACAGCACTCACCTCAATCTGAGTGGCGTAAGAGTAGAAGGGTTGAGAACCTTGACGGTGTGCGTTGAGGTGATGTGGGGAGGAAGATGATTATGCCACGATAGTAAAACTCTTATCATCTTCTTTCATATGTTTTCCATTGTGAGTTAATCTCTGTCCCTTGCTCTCCCATAGCACTGATGTGATATCAGGAAGGCCTATCGGTGGTCCAGCCTTCAACTATGGTTCTTCATCCAAATCTCCTCCCGTCCTCTACTTCCTGCTCTGCCTCCAACTCGTCGCTGGCTCTGTTGCCTCCTATACCTCCCCTTTCCCCTCCCATTCCATCTGCCCCCACGTCCTCCTCTTCCTCCCACACCCTGACAGTGTTGCAAGCGGCGACTGCCTCGTCAACCTCAACCTCGACGGCGCTGGTTCCTTATGAACCAGCACCAAGCAGTTAGCTATCATCTGGGTCCTTCCAACTGGGGTTACTGCTCTAGGGAGCATAAACTGATATTGCTCATGAGGGAGATCACGTATGACTGTACGGAAGAAAAAGAATGCAGAGGAGTGGAGGAGGAGAACTGACTCAGGGAAGAGCAGTTATGGATCACGAAAGAAGAGGAGGCGAACAAGGAGGAGGATGAGAAGAATGAAGCACTCAAAGAAGCTCGATTGGCGCAATTGATTAGTGATAAGGTCCCCGGACATGAGCTGTCCGGGTCCGGGTCCAGCTTAGCCATGATGAGGACCCTTCATCGTCGTATGTGATGGAAGTACTGCCTCGGTGTTTACTGGATCCGCAGCTTGAGTGCTGGTCAGACGTACATATGTCTGAGTCCAGCATCGGCTCTTCTGCCTGCCCTACTACGACAGTCACTAAAATCCTCCCCTCTCCCCCACTAAAATCTAGGGAGGCCTTTATGGTCGGTCCCACCGTCTGCTCTGCTTCGTCCTCACTTCTTCATCTACTTACACGTTTCAACTAAAAAGAGGCTATCACGATGATCACAACCTTTGCCCAGTCACGAAGCAAGTGGTGCGCTAGTAGACCACAATGTCTTCTCATTTCTGTAGCTGTTGAGACAAAGGGACATGTGTCCTGCCTTTTCTTTTCTTTTCTTTTCTTTATGTCAGTTACAATAGAAATAAGAGGTGTTATGACCCGGACCAATTGCGAAGTACAAATTCACCAATCAGCACAATGTTCACCAACTGCAAAAGGAAATGAATGAACTTGAGAGGATGGAGAGGATAAGAAGAAGAAGAAGAAGTAGAAAAGATTGGAAAAGACAATGTACACCAGCAAGAACCAATGTCAAAGCTCTTCTTCTTCGCTCAACTCCCTTGCATCTTATCTCCCCCTCCTCTTTATAAATTCAAACAATAAATAATACAACAATG